TTCATTGTTCCATCTTTTTTTTTCCTACAGAGGAACTTGAGCCTTTCTTGTTTCGATTGGATTTGTGCAGTCGATGCCCGGGAGGATAACCATGAAGTTTATAACAGGTATCAATTGTGTGATGATCCCGATCGCAGTGAGTGCAATGAAGAGGCTTGCGATTAGAATTCGAAGGTCCTTGGTGTTGGCGAACATCCATTGCAGCAGGTTCCAAGGTAGTATGAGGAGTCCCCAGTTGTCGTTGCTTCTCCTCTTGGGAAATTAAGGAATAGATGTTGCATATGGATGGTAGGGGCTGCATAAGAAGAATCTGTCCACGAGCAGCGGCATATGAATCATTCAAACCCATGAGAAATTGCATCACCCTATTCCTCTCATCACGTTCAGCGTGATCTTTCATGGCACCACAAGTACAAGTCGGCACATCACTGTATGATGTCAACTCATCCCATAGCCCCTTAAGTCTTGTGTAATAAGCAGCAACCGACATTTGGTCTTGAGTAAGGGAAGCAATGTCACGTTGGATCTGGAAAATTCGAGGAACGTTGCTTTGAGAGAAACGCTCCTTCAAATCTTCCCATATATCGTGAGCAGTGTCAGAGTAGATAACGCTATCAGCTATGTCTTGATCAAGGGAATTCAAGATCCAAGATAGGATCATATCATTGCAACGTTGCCAAAGAGAGAACTCATCAGGATCGGTTGTCTTTGAAGGCTTCTTGACAGTGCCATCAACAAAACCAAGTTTGTTCTTGACACTCAAGGAGATTCGCATGGAACGACACCATGTCCCATAGTTGTCTCCATTCAACGGTTTGGATACAAGAACCATGCCAGGATGGTCAGAGTGATGAATGAAAAAAGGGTTGGAAACTTCAGACTTGTTTCCATCCTTGGAAGAAGTTTCAACTTCTTTGTCATTAGCCATGGCAGAAAGCTAACGTAAACAAAGAAGAAGGAAGCTGGGATTTTTGACGGTAAAGAGAAAAACAAGAGCTAGGTTTTTCCTTGCTCTGATACCATGTAAAGTTGTAATCAAAGGAAGAATATTTGATTACTTGATCGATTTCTCTTTACAGTGTCAAGGGTATCTATACCCAAATTTCCTATACAATCAAGAGACTAATAAAGGAAAGCAAATCATGTACAATCAATTACATATAATCTGGCTAATCACTCAATCCCAAATATATTGGGATTTAGTTGACTTCTCAACAGAACCAGCTAACGTTGGTTCCTAAAATGAATAGAAAAAGTTGGACAAATTACGTAATTCTAGTGTAGAAACACAGACACAAGCCAAGCCAAATAAACAGGCAATCAATAGATTTAAAAGACTGCAGCCACCTTGCTAGCAAGAGCACGCTCCCGCCTTTCTACGTAGTCAAACGGGAACCAACCTGCTTTTCCCTTACATTCACCTTCAGCCCAACCGTTGTTTGCCACCTGCTCCACCACAACAACATTTAACTTCAATGAGAGAAATCAAGCCAGACATGAATGGGGTATATTGAGAACATAACAAAACAGCATTGAAATGAAGCAGGAAGAATGGCAGAACCTTCCGGACGACGACATAATCCCCGAAGGACAAACTTAACTCCACATCAGTCACAGCTTGAAACGTGTACATAACCTGCAGTAGGTGAGAAAAAGAAACAATTGGTAGAAACTAAAGAGTTCAACAGACTAAAAGTTAGCATCAACCACATTAACATAAAAATACCTCTCCTAAGAAATAGTCCCTGATGTCTGTCAATTCATCATAGGTTTCAGAAGAAAAGTTATTGCTGAGATCTTCATATGATGGTGGGGGAGGCATAGTGTTCTCTGTAGCTGGATTAGGTGATGCTTCAATTCGCTGGTGTTCTGACAACATCTGTGCAACAAATTTTGTCAAATTGTCAATAGAATAATATTTAACCAATTGAATTGGGAAAAACATCGTCTTGCCCATGGCCTCACTAAAAGGACTATTCCAGGATAATTAATACCTCGCCTTCAAGTTGATCAAGTATCTGAAGAACGTTTTGATGATAGTTGCGCTCTGCTTCAACCTTGAATGGAGACAAAAAATGACAAACTTACAAAATTAATTTCCTTCCAATTAACTAGGACAGGCCAACGCCTTAATACTTAAATAGGAAGGGGAAGGAAATGCTTTACCATTGCAAGAAGCCGCTGAAGAGTCAATCTCTGTTGTTGACCTTCAACAGCAGCCATTGCAGCACCAGCTTCTTTTCCCAATATTGCAACGTTAGACTTTAGTTCCTCAAGCTTGGCTTCAGCAGCTTCTAGTTTCATGATAATATCGGCACTACCAGCAGATTCGCGTACTTTGGCTTGGCGTCTGGAAACATCTACAGCCTATCTGGGTGCAAGTTAGTATACATGGACAAAGTTGTAGGAGTAATTAAAAACCAAAGCTTCAAACTGGACAGAAGTAGGTAGAACAAGCAACAGTAAAAGAAAAAGAAGAAGTCCATTCAGTATAAATACGATCACCATGTAACATAAAAACTCAATGTGGTAAACATTAGAAGGAAACAGCAGATACTGCATATACCTGAGCTTCAGCTTCTTGCTGCATTCTAGCATATCGTTGAGCAAGATGTCGAGCATCCTCCAAGGGCGCTCCTACTACCATTGCTCTTAAAGGCTCTGCAACCTAGACAAACAAATTGAGAACCATGGGAAAAAGTTATTATGTAAACCTGTTGAGAAAAATAGTGATACCAGTTTGTCATAAGATGCCTAAGAATAAGCACACAACACAATAATAGTCCAGTTCTTCAACCACAATATGGAAATGGAAACTATTTATTCTGTGAACTTATTTCCAAATAATCAAATGCACACAATATATGGCAACAGTTTAAATTTCCTCACGTACCAAACTGGCCCCCTTCAATATAATGCATTTGATTTTCACTTAATATTCATAGTATGAACTTCACTTAAACCTGTGTGCCAAGGGCTTTCAGTAGAATTCCACACTCTTTTTCAATTTGGGCACGAGCTCTTCCAAAACTCAGTGCAGCTCTCGATAATGTGTTGCCACTGGTGCAAGTTTTTTCAGCACCATATTTCCTGCTATCTTCTGATAACTTGGTACCTGTTGAAAAAGTTTTATGCATACTAAGTGATAAAACTAACATGAATTTGTATCCAAATTCCCAAAAAAATCTCAAACAACACACCTATTTCAACTTGCTTTGAACCAGTTACAATATAACCTTCCACGCCACGGACAATCTCCTTTTGATAATGCTGTTAGAGAAAAAAAAAGATAGAGGCAACTAAGGTAATGTGATGTCATAATAACAATGAAGGAGGAGAAGAGTAGCAACCTTGGCAGCACGAGTTGATATGTAGAGTCTCTCAAGTTTTTGATGCTGTTGGAGTTCTGTTTCATCTGGCACAATATTATCCGAACCCCCATAAATGCCACCAGAAAATTGTTTGAAGACAGCCTGACAGTATTAACAGAAAATCAAAAGCAAATTACTTTCCAAAAATATTAAATTCAGAAATGAAATGAAGTAATAAACAACACTTGGTTCAGAATTCAGAAATTCAACAACATTTCAGCCACCGCCACCACAGCCCCAAACAGCTCATAATTAGTAAAATGCTATTCGATTCAGTTCAGACAATTATAGATTATTATTATTACCTAGAACTAAATTCATTGATAGCTCCACTAATCTCATATCCACGTAATATTAATACCCATGCGGAGATTAAATTCCGGAAACAGAGAGTTTAAATTCGATCAAACCGGAACTGTTCTTCTTTTTCGTTTTCTTCTGTTTTTTCATTTTTCCTTTTCCGGAGAGAAATGGAAGAGAGAGAGAGAGAGAGAAAGAGAGAGAGAGAGTACCTGCTGCTGTTTAGCAACCTGATCTCTTAGCTTCCTGATTGCTTCCATCGACGGTTGCTTGATGCCTGCCGGACCAATGGACCTTAGTTTGAAGCAGCCGGGTGGATTTGGTTCACAAGTTTGAAATTCTGCTTCAAGACTTGGATTTGGAGGCTTATTAATTACTTATTTGTTATTTATTTTCCCTCAATTGACTTCGTCGTGGTGATATTAGTATTACCACTTTTCCTTAAACTTGAATTAAACGTTACCTCCAACTTCTGTTCACTTCATTTCTTTTCTATATTTTGTGTCACTTATGATAAATCCGTCTTTTTTAAAGTACCTTAGCTGTAATAACTTTTACAATCTGAACTGAAACTTCATTTTTTTTTATATATTTTTCATTATAACAAATATTTGGAAAATAAAATTATCTTTCTTCATACCATAACGCTCCTTTTGGGCCCATTGGGCCCTACATCAGTAAGTAAGAAATTCAACTTTGGCATTGGCCCATTCTAACTTTTGGTTGCCCCAAAAACCATAACGCAGTAATAATTGTGCCTTTATTTATTACTTATTATCATACTGTATCTATATGCATCAATTTAATTTAGGAGCTGATTTCCCCACTCCACTCATTATGTTCGCTTATACTTCCTTATATGTTATTAGTAAAAGGATATTAAAAAATAAAAAGGAACTGATTTTTCTGCTCTTTTTTTGCCAACAATTTCTTTTGGTGAATAATATTTATAAACAAAAAAAGGGGTTAAGACCCTCTCTGTAATGGGATGGGTAGCCTCCCCTTCCCCTAAATTTTTAATACCAAAACAAAATAAAAGGAATTGTAAGTTGAAAAAGATGAGTGAGAAAATCATTAAATGTGGTAGTATATTAACTTGACATAAAAGAATGCAATAAATTGAATGAAAATTTCCCTCAAAACTGAAGTCGTTACAGCATGCATATGCATGCAAATACAGCAGACATTGGACAACAACAAAAACAAGGTTGAACGAAAGGAAAAAAACACACTAGAAAAACAATAAGGAAAAAAAAGACAAGGAAAGTTAGAGAGAGAGAGAGACAGAGGGAGATAGAGCACTAATGCTAGTTTCTTGCATGTCTCCCTTAATCGTGGAGGATTAATGTGACTGTCCGAAACAAATGGATAGGGGCGCCGTAGTAGACGTTAACGAGAGTGAATCAGGAACGACGTCGTTTGCAGTGAGCCTTGCACATATATTGGCAGTCATAGTAGCAAGGCCCTCCGCAGTGAAGAGGGCAATCTAATCTCATGCCTTTACACCGCCCTTTGCGCATGCACTGTGCAAACTCCCCCACCGCATAATCAGCCTCATCAAACCTCCTCTTCCCTCCGTACACGTGATCATGATCACGATGAGGATGATGATAGTTTCTTGATCCACTTCTTCCTCCTCTTCCTTTACCACCACCACAACCCCATTTCCACCAACCAGCCCCTCCTCCTCCTCCTCCCCACCCCCCCCCCCCACCTCCACCACCCCCCCCTCCCCCCCCCCTCCCCCTTCCCCCTCCCCCACCCCCAC